CTGAACTGGACACCTCCTTCGGCTCTTCCCTATCCCCCTTCATGCACAGACACAAAAGCCCTGCTGCAGTTGTATTTTTTCCTCCTGAACAGGCAGTAGGCCATTGTATCTTAGAAGATACTTGTACCCTGCAGCTCATAGTCTTCCGCACATTTCCAGAGCCACATGAAGAGCTCAGCACCACACTGAGGTCTCGCCGTCAGAGCCAGAAGTGACCCTTCTCCTGCAAATACTTAGAAATCCCCAAATCTTGCAATGAAATTGGTCTCAAAACACTGAAGTCTAAAATTAAAGTTTATTTCAGTTTTAGAAAGGAACAGGAAAATACATACATGAGTTATACAAGTGACAGTGTGTTGTTTCTTTTCCATGGGTAGTTCCCACTACTGCCTGGCACTTTTAAGATAACTTGATCTATTATTTCTCAGCATCTTTTAGATGTTTTATAATACACACACAGAAAAAAAACCCCAAGCTTCCAGTGGAAATCCAGGCAACATTAACTCACCTCAGCAATAATTCTTTTAATTTGGCTCAGTATAGAAAAGACACACCATAAACATGACCTAGGCCAGCAGTGTGCATGGAACGCTGGTGACCAAAGGCAGGCAGCTGCCTCCCGTGCGTGCGGGTGTGCACACTGAGGCTGCCCGACACGAGCAGCCCCATGGACAGGATTCGACTACAGTATTGAAGATTGTTTTTTTTTTCTTCCACCTACTCATTCACCCAGCACTTCTTCACAGACACAGCTCCGAGTGCAACCAAAGGGAAATCTGCCTGATCAAGGAAAAGAGGATTGCGCTTCGCTCCACATGCATACAATCAAAAAATATAGACCACTGACTGGCAAAGTACACCATCAGCAGACTAGTCAGCTGGCACATTATCTGTAGGGAGTACAACTTACCCTATATCCTTACTTTCAGTATGAATACATGGTTGTTTTACTTATAGCTTTTGTAATGGCAATAGCAATAGCAATATTGATTTACCTGGCTCAGTTTGAAAGATTACACTATTTTTGCCAATAATTCAACATCTTTTTTCCACTTAAAGGGTCTTTAATTCCCACGTAGAGGACAGCACTGTAAGCACAAATAACTGTGCCTCATGTTAGGCCAGTGTGAGCTGGACTGGGACTGGGACTAAGGCCATCTGCTCCTTGAACAACTGAGCACTGGAGAGACATTGAAAGAAAAGCAACAACAACAACAGAAAGTCATCTCGCCAAACCTAGCTCTGGACTCTGAATTTGGGTCCTCATGTCGAGAAGTCAGTTCAGTGGGGCAGGGAAACTCATCCTTTCCTCCCTTAAGCGATTACATACGGTGGGTAGAGAAGTTAGTTTCCCTACTTTAACATTACGCTTGGATCCCTGTCAGTGGGAGGTATGGACTCCAACCAACATTCTTGTTCAGAAAAATGTGTTAGATGGTGAAATTATCATGTACTAGATCCAGCTAACCAGTGTTGGTTCTCCAGAAAAGTACTGATTAATAAGGAAAATAAATGCCTTCAACAGAAACGGGTGGTTAAAATACTTTATTTTTCTTTTTATCATAGAACATACCGCTGTTTACTTTAAATCACTTTAGAGTAAAAGGCACACATTGTTAAAAATACATCAAATTTACATCACATGTACAAATGCGTAAAACAGATGTACATGTCACCAAAAAAATACAGTATGGCTTCAGAAGGTTGAGGCGGGGCTGGGACAATTCAACACATACCTAAGTTTTACAGGATGCTGTTAACACTAAAAGGACTAAAACAGAAAAGAATGGACCCAAAACACTGATTATGTTACATAAACAGTACAACATATAGAACACTGAACATTCGTGTATGGGTTCATAGGATTGTTAGTTCTGCAAAGTCATCAGGCTTTCCAGTGGCACTGAGTAAACAGTGCAGGCATATGATCTGCCCGTTTGCAAGAGTGGGAAGGTAAATTGCAAATTCTCCATCCACAAAGACGGTCCTTGAAGAATCTGCTGATATGCTTTATAAAAAGAGTGAAATAAAAGACTTAAGGTATTAACTGGAGAGAGTAACTGAATAATGAATGGACAACTTACACAGGAATCACTTCTGGCTAAAAAGCATAACACATTAAGTCTGCAAGAATGCTCCATGACAATCATTTAGCATTAGTCCCACCCAAGTTTAAGGCTCGTATCTAAAATTTACCTTTGATTTGTTTTCCTTTGTTTAAAATTACCTGAGCACAGATATCAAAGATCTACAGAGCTTTTAAAATATCTGCAGACACCTTAAAGATCTGTAGATTACTTAAAGCAAAACATCAATATATTGAATTCTACCAGCTAAAAATTCTCAAAAAAACAACCAACAAAACAGTATTTTGGTAGGTCAGTAAAGCCAGAAGAAGGAGCTTAAGTTTTTGCTTTCACCTTTAAAAAACATACATAAAATGTGATAGAATTATTCAAACAGGACTGCTTAATTGTAAACAATGCATTAAACCTTTAAAAGAAAAATCAGGAATCAAAATTCAGGCATTCTAGTCTTCTATAAATTGTTTACAAATGCTGCTTTTCCTCTCGCTAGAGATGGCTGGTGGTTTCTTAAGCGCTGATAGATGGAAAATAAAAGGACCCTCCTCCACGGTATTCTCCACGATCATTTACACTTAGTGTCCATGAAGTGTGAACTGCTGCCATTGCTCATGTGCTGAAGTTTATTCCCTGCACAGCTGTAAGGCCCAGATCCAGAGAAGCACCGAGCACGGCCTTAAGAGCTCTGCAGGATCGGGTTAGATTTAATAGGTTTAAAGATAAACATGCACTTAAATGATTTGCTGCACTGGAACTCAGAAAATTTTCAAAGTGCAAGGCAGAAAAGCATCAGGTTGCAGGGACAGACCAGCTCCCAGCAAAGTCAAATGCCATCACAGAGAGGAGCATTAGACACTTAATTTCCTTTAAAAAGCTTGAAAAGGACGACACCGCACAGAAGTTACGTGTATGGACTTCGAGCAAACGATAGACTCTGCAAGGTGATCTCCTACACAAGGCCTCGGAAACGTACCCGACACTAAGAGCAGTTTGTGGATTTTGCCGAACAAACTGAAAACAGCAAAGAAACACAAAACATATCGCCTTTTATTCCTCCTCCTGCCTCACACACACTGGTTCCTATCTTTCATTCCCAGAAGAAATTAGTACAGACAAAATCTTCACTTGAAGTGATGAGCAACTGTATATGAGCCTAAGGAGCAAATGGGACTCTTCCATTCAAACACATCAGGTTAAAACTTTGATATGACAATTAGTTATTTAAACTGTTGAACTGGGACTAGGCAGTTGCAGAGGGCATTTTACAATCATTGACAATCCTGTATAAAGGGTGAAAAAAAACCAAACCCCTATGAAATATGGAACCGGGATTAAAAAATAATAAAAAAATAGAATGATGATGGATGGGTGTCCTGGATAATTAAGAAAAATCACAGCAGTTGGAAGTACCCATAATTCTATGTATAAATAGCAGGAAATCCAAATAAAATGCTACAGCTAGTTTGGAAAAACTAAATTGAACACTGCTTTTCTATTAAATAGATTAAAATACTCATCCACTGAGAAATTACACTGTTAAATAAAACATTTGCATGTATCAAAAATGACGGGCAGGTACTATCAATTCCAGTCTCCTTGTCCCAATAATGAAAGCTCCGAGAAAAAAAACATAATAAATTGTACAGTAGTTCTAACCTCTTAAATTTACAATACTGAATCCAGCAGGATTTGGCTAAATAATACAGTTTAAATAAGCTAATCTAAAAGGAACAGAGTGTTCTGTAAACATCTGACACAAACCACACTGCATTCTGATGGCGTGGCTATACCTTCTCTATGCAGGAGAAAGATAATTCAACTGGTGGTGCTAAAAAGGGATGAAATCTAAAGGCAACGTTCCTGTTCTTCAGTAAGGCTTGTAAAAAAATTTGAGCAGTGTACGTATGACAGCCTGTACAATCCCGAAGTTTTTGGAAAGCTCAGTTTAAAAAAAGCCTACATGTTTTAAGTATAAAACACACATTGAGAAGATGTCCTTCTAAATTATGTGTAAAAGTGTCTGGCACCAGAAACAACCACTAGGTATTATTATACCTAAGGAAAAAAAGCAAAGAATCACTCAAGACAAGTGTCCCTGAACTTCAGAGCAGATGCAGCCAATTAGGTTACTTTGTGTTGTTCTGTTCCTCTGGAAAAGTCACACACATACACTCTTTAAGCTGTCTGTACTACATCAGCAGTAATATATATCATATATACGCATACTGTGTATATAATATATATTTGCATACCTATTTCTTTTACCTCCATCTGGAATCATGTGATTTCATGCAACACACTTATCAGGAATCAAACCTACTCATTAGATCGCAGCTGGTGTAACTTCAGTATCAAATCTTTCATTATATAGTGATTCAGCGTTGCTCAGCATCGATCACCTCTGACTAGAATCCTCATCTTGCTCTTCTCGCAGTCCAGTTCACAGCTGTTGCCTCTGCCACCCTTTTTCAGCCACCTCCTTCGCCTAGTGTGTCCACGCGATGTTCAATGCTGAGACCTTATTTCTGTCAGCTTCTGAAGATAGCTCTGTGCTGCTGGCATCGAGAGAATAAACTGAACCGTCCTTTGACCTATTCGGTAGCAGCCGTATCCCATCAGTCCAAAAACTGTCGCTTTTATGACAAATTTGAAAATCTTACTTGAAGCTGATGGAGGAGGCACGCTGAGGCAAAAGATATAAAACAACGTTAATACCTGCATAGCTGAAAAGAACAGGCATCTTCGCATCAAAACACATCTTTTCTACCCTCTCCCCTTATAGTGCAAGAAACTTTGAAGCAACAGATGTCTCACGAACTAACAACCTACACTTTTTCATGTTAAAGGGCTACATCCAAATTAAGTACCAACACTAATAATGCTTTTTCCACTTATGATGCCACTTTTAATGACCAAATACCCTGACTTGCCCATCACTCTATCAAAATAACTAAGACAACATCAAGACTTCTTGAAGAATACTACAAGTTAGTATTGTTGGTTGAACTGCTTATAATATTACTATGCCTGTCTGCACAGAGGCAAAAATCAGAAGAAACCTATTTCTTCTACCTCCAACACCGAGGTCTAAGGACCAACACCGAGGTCGCGGGTTCGATTCCCGCTCGGTCCCCATGTGTTGCCAGGTCTAGTCGAGAGGTGGCGTCCCTGCCCAAAACAGGGAGGTTGGACTAGATGATTTCTAAGGTTCCTTCCAGCCTAGGCCATTCTATGATTCTATGATTCTAAGTCAGTACAGCCTGTAGGGTCAACTCGCTGTCACCCAGGACAACGGAGGAAAACAGAGCTTGGCTGTTCTGGATAACGTGTCAGGATTTGGTCTGGTTTGCACAGCCAGAAGGGCTAAGTCTGCAGCCAGGCTGACTCCTGCGCAGGTTTGGAGGGGTGTTTCAGTGAGCTGCACCCCTGGATGCCAGGCAGGTTTACGAGCCTGGCTGCTGCTGCTAGCCCGAGCATGTGGAGGCCAAGCCCCTACAGTACTCTCAGCCTCTGGAGCTCAGCAGAGGACACATGGACAAATCAGAGAGGCTTCGCAAGAAGCTGTCTCTGCTCTGGCAGGTGCTGCTGGCTTTGGGATCTTCACAGAGCCACCTGGAAGTCTCTGCACTGGCCACCTGGAACTGGGAGGGCAGAGGACAACAGGCACACCAGGTCTACCCTCACCTTCCAGCAGTCTCAGTAACTCGGTGTATGGAGCAAAAAGCTTAATTTTACTTTCAAAATAAAGCTGGCTTTGAAAGCTCAGCTACACACGCACCCTGCCCTGCACCTTCCCAAACAGGCTCTGCGGCACCTCGGCCAGCCCTGCACCCACAGCACGCCTGCACTGCGGCTCCGGACATCCTCTCACAGGGGATGGAGAGGTCTCTGCTTCAAAGTCACAAGTCCTCATTACTTTTAGAAAATGTTCCTAATGTATCCAGAAGCAATCAGTTATAGCAGTGCGAAAACATTATGGACACCCTCAAAGCAGGTTAGATGTGCTGAGATTAGGATACAGCTAGAGCGAGTTTAGATCCACATGCTCCCAACTAGGGCTAAGTTACTACTGGTAAGATTTTTCATATTAAGGGAAAATACAGGATGTTTTCAAAAACATACGCACTTAGAAAGCTTCTCTATTCTTCTCAATTCCAGCCCCTCAGTGAAACTAAAAAAATTCATAACAATGTGAAGCAAACAGTGAAGTCTGCTCAGAGTCAGGTTTGATGCATGAACTTAAAAACTGGAAGTCCAAGAAATATGCATGTTTCTATCCAGGTGACTTGCAAGATCACTGCTACTTGTAAAACTTAAATACCTGCATAAATCTTAAAAACCTCTCACTTCAGACAGGTGACAGCCACCAACACACAGAAATCCCCCCTAACTCTGCTCTGCAACTGCAGCACAACAGCATGAGGGGTAAAAGAGTTTAACAAGAAATGAGTCTCAGCTACAATCACCTTACAAATGCTGTTTGCTTCACACTGTTTTTTAGAAAGTCAAGTTAATGCAACAGGAATGTCTTACAAAAGATACTACTTAATTCTGGCACGGTAAAGACAATAAAATTAAAGAGCCTAAACTTTGATGAAAAAGCCCTTCTATATATATCTGAAGACACAGTCAAACTTTTGGCTATTCAGTTCAGTTACGTCAGTTATGCAACCAACATTAGCCATGCAATTATAAGGATTTGGGCAACCTCGTTTTGCAGGTTATTTGCAAGGGTGCAGAGGAATAGGACGTCTAGTTTGTGACTCCAGGTAAGGCTTGAAGAACTCAGAAATGGCTGGACAGGGCTTCCATACATCGCATTCTTGGACCCAGACACCAAAAGTCTAAGTCATTTTTTAGATGCCTAAATGCACTCTTTAGGCACAGTCTCTTCTGTTTTTCTGAGCCTCTGAAGAGATGGATGAGGTGCTTACATAAACAAAGTAAACATACGCCTCAGAGTGCCAATATCTGAAAGGGTCTGTTATCCTAAACCACCGCAGACCAGTACTACCAGATCATACTATAACCCATCCTATATTTCCAAAGGCCTGACCTTTGTGGCTTTATGGGATACACACAGAAGATTTTAGATCAATTCCTTCACATACATCTACGAGTTCGCTGATACATGGCTTAGATCAGCCCATATTTAGGTAAACACATTAAAACATGTTATTCCTTATATATACACACACACAGTTAAAAATAGGCTATGAACAACTGTGATACTAAGATTGCCAGAGCCAGCAGTGCCCTGACACAAGAAAAGTTTTGAATCCAATAGTTCATATTTACCTAAGCTAGACCAGAAGCCTGGGTTTGTTTTCACCGTCTTCTACAGCCCTCATCTGCATTCTCGTTTTACAAGCCTTAAATGTGGATCAATGAATTTTCCTTCTAGACAAGGGCATCTTCTCATCTCTACTTCCCTTGATATCCAACTATTTACTCTTTTCCTTTGATATTTTCTTTTCCTTTGCTGTAAGCACAATCTGCAAGCACTGCACAGCAAGTCAGTGAGCTGACAGGGCAGGGATGACAGTAGTGATGTTTCTTCAAGCTGTGACGAACAACCAAAAAAAAACCCCAAACCAACCAATTATTCCTGTCTTTCCGCAAGACAAGCTGTTATGTCAAGAGCCAGGAAAGGATGACTGTTACCTCATTATTTCCTGGATGTTTAAGTCAGAGTTCCAGTTCTTTTCAATTCCAGGTACATGACCCATCCCAACAACACCAACTACAACAGCTGGGATATATTTTCTAGGTTCATCTAAGAAAAAGAGATGGAGAAAAAAGGAACACATCAGTAAAAGAACTAATTTCAAGCTACAAATAAATAGGTGATGTATAAGATTACAAAACTGAATTTTTCAAGAGGTAGGGACTCTTCCTACTAGATATTAAAACTTTGTTACATGCTAGAATCACAGAAGTTAAGACTCATCTCACCTCCTTCCTCTTATGTTGAAAGTCTGAAAAAAAAGTCAGCTCAGTTTCTGGATTTTCAGGAAATGTTTGTTTCAGTAAATAGACCTGACCAGGGCTCATACTCCAGCCTCAGGGCGAGGTGCTCAGCAGACACAAGCTAATTTAATTTATTTCCTTCATGTTTCTTGTACTGCTTATCAGGGACAGCCCTGGTCTCCACCACTGAGGACAGTGGCAGCTCACACACATCTGAATTGTCACAAGACCTGTGCTAACAAGCAGAATGAACAATCTGAGAGCAGCACTCGAGACCACACCTGCCCATGTTTTACTGTTACAGACCTGGCTTCAGCAAGTAACAGCAAAACCTGCATCACTCACTTGCAGCAGCAGCAGGCCAGTTACATCACTGCCACACATGCCAGCTCTCGCCTGCACCTCCCATCTACCACCCACATTTCGCAACACCAAGTGGAAGTTTAAAATGTAGTTCCTGAAAGTTTTGTGGTTACCTCTCCCCTAGTGAAAAAATGGCACTGTGCCATGATAAAAATAATAAAGTAATAGTAATCAGGCTGCTTTCCTATGGGGAAAATTACACATAAATATAATTCATATATATATAATTTAAGTTCCACTGTCTTGCTTTAAATATACCTTGAACAATCAAGGGTGGATAAGAAAAAAAAAAAATTTAGAAGCCTCCCTGACGAAATGAAACGAAACTGTACTGAAAACCACAAGAACTATTAGACACACTTTCCAAAGTGTTTCTTTGGATTTGCCTTTTCTCAACCTGTTCTAGGGTTGCTCTAAATCAGAGCTGCAACTGCAGAGGTGGAGCACAGCGCCTCAGCAGGATGGGCTGTCCACAGCACGTCACACCTGCTCCAACCTCCACCTGGATGCTCCTGTCTGCTTCTGGGCAGGATTCAAAAATGACACCAGAAATGCTTAGAGCCCTGCCTGGAACATAAGTCCTGGAAGAATTTATTTTTTATTTTTTCTTTATTCTTTTTGCCTCTCATAAGCGTGAATGCATAGAACAGATTATATGTACATAATACAAATGCACATCTTGTGAACAAAACCGTGTCTTGTCTTGTCTCTTGTTAAGCAAAGGGACACGTGACTATCAGTCAGGCAGTCTCTCACATTGTCTTCTGTGGTCCCATGTTCTGTTTTAAGTCCTTTGGAATGCACATACACCCCTCCTAGTTTCACAGGCATTCACTAAACCAGCGATCCAGAGACTCAGCTTTTAAGAAGGTAGATTTAAAGGGAGGGGAAAAAATGGAGGGGGGAAAAAAAAAAAAAAAAGCATGGGAATCGCTAAACAACTCCTTCTGTGTCTCACGACTCAGCCAAGACAAAAAAAAAAAAAAAAACCTAAATTTTCAGGCTGCTCTTCAGATCAGGTCACTAAACGCATCCTTGCCTCTTCCAGCCACACCGACTGAGCCAGCAGGAAATACTCTGTGTTTGAGCAAACTTTATGAAGGCAGCACTGACCTACTTAATAGACAATGGAGATACATGAACACAAGTGCAACTCCCTCGCTATTTTTTCAAACTTTTTCTTTTTTTCAAACACAAGACAGTGCCGGAGGTCTTCACTGAAGCGATTACAAACAGTATCACCAATATAATACATCAAGTAAGAGGTAACCCATACCTCAGTAGGCTTATATATATAGGAAGGGCATTCAGATCCCAGAGTAGCAAAATATGTTCGAAGGCTACAGAAATGCAATAATTCCGTACGCTTCTACCTTGCTGAAGCATGTAGAGTCACATCTTTCAAGCAAGAACTGTGTTCCTGAGCAGTTAATGACGACAATGAATTTGGTGAGGTAAAAAGGTGGAAGAGAGACTGCAGCTAGGCTGCCCTGTGCTGTAACACCTGCTGGCCGCCTTTCGAAAAAGTTGTCAGGCTATTAGTATTTTCCAGTTTTAAAGAGCACAAGGAGAAAGGGATCACAATTTGGAGTCTACTGCTCTACAAAAATTATTTACTTCTAAAGGTGGTTGTAACAGAAGAGTAAGAGCCCTTTTCAATTTTTTAAGCACTGACTTGCAGCACCCATGACCAGAACATCTCAGATTTCCTGAGGGGAACTGAGCTTTGGAACTGAACAGAGAACACCCTGCTGATTATGATATCTGCAGTAAAACAATTACTTTCTGAAGCTCGAGGTAGTTCTGTCTGCTTTGCTGCTTGCTTCAGCATGTAGGTCAAGTAAATATCTCGTTCCGAGACAATCGTTCGATGAAGATCAGGAAATTCTCCGATCATTTCTGCCATCATCTGCTCCAGTAAATCCTTCTGTTTGCATTTCTCCACATCATCTTTACTGAAAGAAAGGTAAGTTTTCTCAGTACCTGTTATGCTTTTAAAGCCCAATACAGAAAAACCAATGAGTAAAAACAACTGGGTATTACACGTTACACTCTGCAGTTCTCCTCTTCAGAAGCCAAACAAACTCCCTAAACTTGTAGAACTGGACCCCTCACAATGCTTCTACAGTGAGAGAAACAGAGAGAAAGGGAGGTCTCTTGCCTTTAGGCAGTGCGACTGCATTTTCACCCTTCCCAATTTGAAAGCTGGCAACTCAACTGAGCAAAAAGGCTTCAAAGGAAACAGCTATTGTGGTGCCCCACTTTCAGTTTAAGAAGCTTAGAAGAGGCAACACAGAGCGCTCCCGAGGAAACGGATCGGATGGCTGAACACACGGAGGCTCTATTCAAGGAACAACAAAAAATAATAATAAAAAAAAAGCACACCATAAGGCACAGTCTGAGGGGATGGCAAGAGTTCTGCAGGTTCCCAGTGTCAGTCACAGGTCTGCAACAGGGAAGTCAAAGCTATAAATTAATTCCCTGAAGAACAGGACATGCTTTCTTTAGTTTCCAAAACTGAACGGACACTACAAATGTCAACAGGGACAAGCAGAAGCATTGCCAGCTTTCCACAAATCATAGAAAAGCTACCAGACTGTCACAGATTTGATGCAGAGTTGTTATTCCATTTTCTGTGGAATCTCATGCTGATTGCAGGGTGCACAACACCTCTCCTCCCCATCAACAACCTTCCAATTATAAACACCTTCCATTTTCAATCTGCACCCACATGTTATTTTTTTAAAAACAACATAAATCCATCAATTGTACAACAGAAATATGTCCAAGCTTCAGTAGGAAGGTAGTGTGCACATACCATTATTATCTTAACACGACATTTGAACCAAAATGTTCTTAGGATGGATAAAAGAACGGAAGAAGTTGCAGAGAAATATATCCTCCTACATACCCCAAAAGCCTGCAAATAGTTTCAAGCTGGTATTAGATCAGCAAAACTTACTTTGTGCATGAACTGTAGTTATTGGATTGAAAGAGGGTCAAACCCATTTTACAGATGAACACATCAGCAAGTATTTGCAGGAAGTGACAATTAAATAAATGCTAAAAACGGACAACAGAAGTTTGATTGACCAGACCACAGTTGGAGCCCTGGCCCAATTTTAAAAGCCTAGAAAAAATACCAAGGGTCACTCTGTGAGCTGTGGAGAGCTCTGGTCACAGGGTATGAGAAAGGCACCGAGATTCAGGCACCACGTGCACAGGAACCCCATTTCTGGCAAGGCTCCCACCACTTCGAGTCTCGTCACAGCAGCCTGAACTTAGGAGGGCAGCTGTGCACATGCTCTCACCCCGTTTAAGCAAGTTGCTGCACACCTGCTTGTGGAAGCAGGAAGCAAACTTGGCACATGGATGTCTCTGAAGGGCAGGGGAAGTCAAACTGAGCACAGAATAGCTATCTGAGAAACACCATCGAAAGGCAAAAGTTCTTAACAATGCCCCGTTATAAAGACAATCATCATTAAGAGCCCACACGTCCAGACTTTAAACATTTCCTAGTGTTCTAAAAATCTGCTCAGACATCAGCTGCAGTTCTCAAGCTGCCCTGATCCATATGTGACTTAGCACAGCAGGGCCAAGTCCTCTGGAAATCTTAAGGAGGTACAAGTCAAGAAACCAAGGCCCTACTCTCTTGCATTTACAATATCCACACACAGCAGTGGGAAAGATTTTATGTTCAGCATAAAAATAAAACACTAATGGTTTTCTTAAGTACACTAGGAATTCTCCAGCACTAAATCTTTCAGTTCACCTGGAAGTAATGTATCAAAAGACAATTAAAGAACTGGAACAAAAAGGGAAAGTCACCTTTCTTTTCAAAAACATACACTATTGCAGGGTAGTGGTGTATTCATCCTCTCTCTCCTAAGTTCAAGTTTCACCACATCAGGCTGGGTACCAAGGACTTCCAGCTTGTACTAAAGTCAAACTGAAGAATTGAACAATTCTCTCTGATAAAGCCATGGAATGCTTACTCATACCTGATTGGGTCAGACAAGAAGCAAAGGCCCCAAGCAAGTTTGACTTTTTGCCAGAAAGAAAGTGCAGCAATTGCTCTCTTAAATGTAACAGGGATGGGTCGGTCTCCAAGATGGAATTTACAGAAAGGTACTTTACTGGCCTGAAAGAGAAGATCCAAATCATCAGTCAACGTTTCATACTGCAGCACAGTGTATCCTCATGAGGAGGTTTTATCATGTTATGCAAAGTACCTTAAAAAAAAGAGCAAGCAGTGGCACACTTCAACATGATTTTGTCTCTGCAGTAAAAATCTCCAAAAATACTACTGCATGAAGGATACATCAGCTACAAGATGCAGTAGGTGTTACAGAAAAACATTAAGTTGTAATGACACCCTCTTGAGGTTACTTTTACCTAAGCAGAAAGCTCCTCCTTATGACTACTTCAGGTGAACAGATGGGGCTCAGAATCTCTGTGGGTCTGAATAAAGGCCAAGGTGAAGCAACTGTGGTCATTTTGCTTTTACCCAGGATTTGTCAGGATCACTATCCTAGCAGTTTCTCACGGTAAAATCTATTCAAGAAGGAGCTTGCAAAACAAGAACTGATGCCAGATACCACACAACAACACGTGGTTAGACTTTGCTGTAGCTTAGACTGACAAATTTCAGCACACAACTTCTAAAAAATTCTTTCCAATGCATACTTGTTAAAAAATTTCAAACAATCACTTTAGAACTGGACAGAACGAAAATATATATTTCTTTCCCCACTTAAAATATCTCACTCTGGTCTGGAATGCTCAGGAAAATAAGCCTTTAAACAGTTGTCTGTTTATTAAGGGTAAATACACCAAATTATTCCAGATTCTTTTAACAGCTCTGTTATCTCAGAGTTCCTTACTAGTACCTAATTTACATAAAAATAGCAAGATATATTCTGCAAGGTGGATAGATACAGCAAAAACAGTGCCTTAGTATTCCCAGACAAATAAAGAGTAGATGTGACACACAGTAGAAGTCCAGCTACTATTTACTTCCCAGTATCATCAAAACCAAGTTATTTAACAGGAATAAAAGAAATAAATTATTGATTAAATGAAAACAAACACCATCAGAAATACCATCAGGGAAAAGCCTTATCATTTGAAGCTTATTGTTGAGTTGCTTTCATGCCACTAAGGGCTACAAACCTCTGTGCTTTCAAGTACACTTTGAAGCTGAAGATTGTTACTACTTCACAGGCTTCAGCACAAGTATGGCAAGAGTACTCTTTTCTAGTCACTTACAAATGGTTTTATTTAGTTCAACTCTGGGAGCAAAAGGCCAATAATTTGACCTCAGAAAAACCATTTCGAGTTCGCACCTCTTTGAAAGCCTCCCTGAATTCTCCTCCTGGGGCCATTCCCAGCTGTTCTGTGATGTGAGCAGAAACCTTCAGAAGCAGCATTTGCATCAATCCAGACATGACTCCATTCTGGCAGAAGAGGGGAAAAAAAAGCCGTTAAAAAAAAAAAAAAAATCAAGCTGTGTGGATTTCTCAGAGGAATGCATTGTTCACAGTCATGAGAAAACATTAATTTAGTGAAGAAGCAGCACAGAAGGTACCCCTTGGAGCCAATTCACTGACCAATACAGCTTTTTATATCGGTTTCTATCAGTTGTGAAGTAGCTTTTCACTTTACCTTGTGTCCAAATTAATCTCCCTGTCAACAAAAATGTATGGCAGAGGTAAGAAAGGAGGACAGCCAGACTTACTTCAGTCTATATTTACTTCACCTGCTTGAAGAAAGTGTCTGAACAACTCGATGGTAAAACAGCTCATACCGCATATTTTATTTTTCTTGATCTATCCATTTACAATTAAAAAAAAGAAAAAAAAAGAAAATAGAGGACCACAAGAGTATATTCCATTGAACGTTCAGTGAATGCCACATTACAGAGATACTCAAAGGGAAATAGCTAGTAGTCTAATCATAAATACATCCACAATCCTGGGAAACACTAGGCTGGGGACTGGTTAACAGAAACACAAAGAATCTAATGTTGTGCAAGAAATTGTCGTGTATGACTTCAGCACCTAAGACCTTAGAGAAGATCTCAGAGTCCTGAGCTTGATTTGCTCCCACAAGCAGACTGAAGGCCTCTTCGTGCACAGTTTATTACTTTTTGAACTGAGACCCAAAATCAAGACTGTTCATTTTAAAAATAAAACAAAAAATCATATATATAGTTATGTAAAACAATAAGGGAAATTTTACAAAGAGAATGAAGAAAAAAATCTCAAATACATTCAGAGCTGTTCCTTCTGTCCAGCTCTGACTGTCTTCAGCCAGTTATTTTTACAGCTAAGATTCGGTGGCTGAGTGTCACCTGTCCCCATGCGCAACCTGCACCGTGATTACGCATTTTCTCCAATTTGGCATCAGTCCCTACCACTACCAAAAGGGACGTTTCCCTTTCCCTTGTCACAGGTTAGTTTCCTGCTATATCACCAGCTTCATACGACCGAAGATGAGGTTACACAGGATAGTTTGAGTTAATGTAACTGCCTGAAGTTACCAGAGGAAGGTCCTGGTCTCCATTCCTGGCTCTCAGGGTCATGTTCAGGTGACCCACCTTATGCCAGATCTGATGTTTGTGTCATCTCTCCAAAGCCCGCAGGCCCTTTCTGCAGTTATGTGGACTCGAGTCACTGAGAACCACAACTGCCAAAAGAGAGAGGCTATTCTCAAAGCCTATCGATTATCTGTTTTATCATGCTACAAACTAGCATATGTTGGGAAAAAAAACAAGGTGCTGGGCTCCTAGAGAGAGATGTGGAAGAAACAGGGCAGTGAGAAAACAAGTTTTCGGCATCCTTAACATCCAGTTCTAAAGCCTGGGGGACAAGGGTTACAAAAAGTTCATAAAAGATAACCACAAAGAAAAGAAAACTGGGATAATGCAGCCTGAGGTTATTTGCTGCCTGCTCTCTCCTCTGGGACTGATGTGTTTGAAGTTGCACTTTTGCACTGTGACAGAAAGATTCACCCTGCTGGCTAATGGTGGGGGGCACCTCTGAAGTGTGCCCGAGTTATTTGTGCTCCTAACCCGCATGAAACTCAGTTCCTGCCATATTTACGCAGCATCAAGGTCCAAACGGGTGACAAGCAGCCATATGTAGCAGAAACCAGCAGTAAACGGGCCAGTCAGACACTGCCAGGGGATAAAGAGCAAAATAAACGAAAAATGATGGAAGCAAAACCCTGATGAAGGTTATTATCAAGACCAGATTATTCAGTGTCAGATAAAGGAAAGCTGACCACAAAAGGACATAAAATCCTGAGTGTCCAGCAATAGTTTCACAGGTTAGAGGCAACAGTGCCCTATTTTTGGCTGGAATAGTTAATTCTTTTCCTAATAGCTGATATAGTGCTGTGTTTTGAATTTACTATGAGAATAATGTTGATAACACAATGATGCTTTAGTTGTTGTTAAGCAGCACTTATCCTAGGTTAAGGACTTTTCAGTTTCCCACGCTCAGCCAGCAAGCAGGTGCAAAGAAGCTGGGAGGGAGCAGGGCCAGGACTGCTGACCCAAACTAGTCAAAGGGATATTCCACACCACAGAACGTCATGCTCGGGGTATAAACTGGGGGCAGCTGGCCAGGAGGGGCAAACTGCTGCTCAACTCTAACTCAGCTGAAACCAGGACAGGTACAAGATAAGAGTTTTTTCACTGGCCAGAAGCATTAAAAAAATCCCAGACACTGTAATATATCCTATACAGGTAGCTTCAGCCTAAAGGAATAGGTTAAAAAAAAAAAAAAAAAAAAGAAAAAAGAAAAGTGAGGTTGAGCTAAGATTTTACAGCCACCAGTCTGCTTTCTCTTCTGTCCCAAAAATAAGGTTTCTTAACTCCTCCTCTGTGTCAGTCATACAGCCACACAGGGACATTATGCAGCTAAAAAGCAAGCCCTGTTCAGATTGCTGTGCCAGGGGAGAAGACACAAGATAAAACCTGTCTTCCCAGTTTGGTTTATGCCAACTGTTACTCAGCATCCTCAGGCAATCAGCATTTGAGCCAGACACCAGTCTGCACTGTGTTGCTTTGTTTAACGGAAAGCCAACAGGTAGTTCTCTGCAAACAACTGTACAGGCTATGAAATTCAGGGAGGGGCTGGAAGAAGGCTGTACCAGAATTAGTTTGGTCAACAAGACCAGGGCAGTGACTGTCCCCCTGTACTCAGCACTGGTGAGGCTGTACCTGGAATCCTGTGTTGAGCTCTGAGTCCTTCAAGACAAGAAGGACACTGAGGTGCTGGAGCGTGTCCAGAGAACGGCAACAAAGCTGGTGAAGGAGCTCAAGAACAAGTCTGACACGGAGCAACCGACAGAAGTGGTGATGTTCAGCCTGGAGAAAAGGAGGCTCAGGAGAGACCTTATTGCTCTCTACAACTACCTGAAAGGAGGCTGTAGAGAGGCAGGAGTTGGTCTCTTCTCCCAGGTAGGTAGTGACAGGACAAGAGGAAATGGCCTCAAGTTGCACCAGGGGAGGTTTAGGTTGGATATTAGGAGGAATTTCTTCACTGAAAGGGTCGTCGGGCACTGGGACACGCTGCCCAGAGAGGCAGTCGAGTCACCATCCCCAGAGGTGTTTAAGACATGTTGATGCCGTACTCAGGGACATGGCTTAGCAGCTAACTTGGTAGGGCGGGGCTGATGGCTGGACTCAGTCTTAGAGCTCTTTTCCAACCAAAACTATTCTATGATTCTATGAAAACAAAGATACTATAATTTAGCATGAGATAGTTGGACTATTTTTCCCCGTATCAGCCATGCTGCTACTGAATCAAAGGGGGAAGGTTGAGACTATAGAGAGAGAAACATTATTTAAAAGGCATAACGTCCAAATTTTATTATTTGCATTATCCCTGGTGACAAGGGAAACTTAAGGTTGAGCTGTAACTATAAGAAGGATCTTTGTATTATTCTTTGGCTTTAGAGTCAGAGCCTTGTGTTTCCTACTGTCCGCACACAAGATCACTTCAAGCCCTGGTAGGAAATGCTAATTATGAAGCTGCCAATATGAATTTACATCAGAGAGAAACAGAGAAAATAAATCTGCTATTTTATTTTCATCACCCTTTTTCTCTTAACAGAGAAGCACTGCAAACACTGTTGCATTTAGCTTTGACATTACAAAAAAAAAAAAGGCTTCTGTGCCTATTTCCTAGGTCAGAGGACCACCAGCTACGCTGCTCCGTTGTTGTGAACATGCATTTTTTTTGGCTACATGCATCAGCACAATCCACCTTACCTAAAATAAACAGATGGATGCAGTAATACACGCAATATGCAAGTGTTTTGCAATGTTCTTCCCTTTGATAGGACATAAAGAAAGAAAACAGGAAGGACACACTATTGCCTAACTCTGATGAGTCAGAAAGGCTGCACCAGGACCCTACACGCGCGCACACGCACAGGCACACACGCACACGCACACACACACGCAGACCAGCCCCCAGTCACTGCAAGCACTTCTTCATGGAGGCAGATGGTATTTTTGAGGGGTCCAATCCTGGAATTTTCCCAATTACACTAATAAACCAATTCCAATATGTAATTACCGCACAAACACAATAACCATCTATGAATTTATTCATTCAGCTGGACACCAGACGCTCTTTTTACTGTTAACCACATACTGTCGTTCCAGTCCTGCCATTTTTAAATCAGCTTTGTGCTGTTTCACCCTGCTTAGCTTAAAATGACTTAAATATAAGCTAACTGGGTGAAACCAAGAAAATACAGGACAATGTTTTGCACACACAGCCCAGACAGTGTCAGACTGCCAGAGTAGTGATAAATTGAATAGAATCCCACACTTTTCAACCCAGATTTTTCAAAAACCTCCCTCAAGGCCTCCTGTCAATTAGAACCTACTCAAAAGACAAAGAGATGAGAACTAAAACCAAAAAGAGCAACACACTAGGGTGAAGGAATGCAGACAATACAAAATGACAGGCAATAAAGATTGCAGGAATAATAATCGTATTTAAATATATCACCAGGGCATTACAATTACAAAGTTAAACTTGTGCCCTGCAAATGAAGCAACTGTTAAACCCAGGAGGATTCCTGATGAGGTCAACAACTGGCCAAACAATCCTGTTGCAGAAGAGAGGCCCTCAGTGCTCCAGCTAAAAAAAGAAACCAACCAAACCTAACTTTGCCCACTGCAATGGCACTCTCACCTAGGTGAACAGTATTAGGTTCTCAGCCAGTGGGAACATTGATTTTGGTTCAAACTTGACAAATTGCTCTTAACACAAACCTCGAATTCTCACCGTGGGAGTCATACCTGCTTTATAGCTTGTTGAAGTTTTTCCAGATTTATTTCTTTGGCTTCTTTTAGTAATGTCTTTTCATCCATTTTTAACATAGAAACTCTGTACTGGCATAATTCCACCACAACTACATCAGGCTGCACTTCTTGTATTGTCTGAAAGAGACAGATTTATTTACAACAGTTTAGGAAGGATTAAACAGAAATGCAGTCAGTATCAATACTTTCATGAGAAAAGGGACTTTAAAAAAAAAAAAAAAAAGCAGATTCTGGCAATCATTTCCAATTAAAAGAACAGTGAAAGAGTAAATAAGACTTCTCCAAATAGCTATGTATTGGGAAAAAATTAAGGAAGATGACAACAAGATGTTTTAGTTACTGGTTGTTTTGGGACAGGAAGAAGTAGAACACATTGTGTGGAGGGAAGAAAAACTTAGCGTTAAACTTTCCACATTCACAAAGTTCCTCTGACTATGCTCAGTGATCACTTGCAATTCCAGTTAGAATAACCTGTGTATGAATGAGGGTTGATGATTCTGGCCCAAGATTTCTCCCCCTCTAGCTGCTGGAGAATAAAGCCACTATGAACCGTACACTTGGCATGAGGTACAATATGAAACGGTTCCTACTTTCACTAGAGCTTTGGACCTATTTGCATCTTTGGAATGGAATCCAAGTTTGGGTCTGCATGGTTTTACAGCTTTGTACTATACACCCCAAGCACAAAGAAGCCATAAACTGCAGTTTCTGTTTTAGGCTTTGCATCTTCTCAGCACATCCCCATCACAGTTAGTATGCAACACCCACAGTACTCACTGTGGGTGTGACAAGATGCTGAATCGTGACAGGCAACATAAGCTTCCCTCGTGATACTTCTACTTTTAACACTGGCACTTGATCTGGATTTGTTGTCTATGGACAAATTAAAATATCTGCGATGGAAGAGCAACGCACCACATAAAAACACTGTGAAGATAAGATGTTTGCCTCCTAGCTGATCCCATGGTGCTGTTAGTCCTCTGACAGCTAACAAGAAAAAAACAAACCCCAAAACACAAAAATAAGTCTGGAATTTCGTTGGGTTAAAGCACAGAACCAAGGCAGAGAGTTGGACTTCGTTCTACTTAAAGCTAAGCTGACAACATTATAAACATGCTGCTGAAAGCCTCCCACTTGGTATTTACCTTCACTACATCCTTTTTGCTGCTGTCACTGAAGTGGGCTGTTCCAACCACATATACTTTAGAGCCATCCTCAGTGCCAAGCTCAGTCACAGTGCTTGGTAAAGTAGGCTTTTTCTGCCTCTTCTTCATCTTCATCTCCAGGAGAATTTTAAATGCATCTGCATCAGCTACAAATTTAGAGAAAAATAGAAAAAAAAGCACACATGACTATAAAACGCAGGCGAGTAAAACAGAAAATAAAATGTCACCACTGAACAGCAGAGTGGAGCTAAAAGGCCACTGATTTACCACTGTAATCTTACATTCAGTTCTGAGGCTACATCATTGAGAGTGCCACCACTGGAGAGGCTGCCTCCAAGCATGGGTCTCAGTCCAGGTTTCCTACCCTGTGGACACTGGGACAGGTTGTCCACGCAGTTTTGAGAGAAGCTGTGTGGCAAGTGAGGTGGACAGAGAAGCAAAGAATACTTAGAAAAGGCACACACTAAATTGAGGGGGGAAAAAAATAAATAAAAAAGCGCATTTCTTAAATTTTAGAATAAAACCCTTCCCATTTGGGATTTTATCTGTATAAACAGTAACAACACGTACCCTGGTACAAGTATGTTGGTAAAGTCACCTGCATGTACCGGCACATACAGGATATCTGAAGCACCAATCCCAGCCTTTTCTGTCATTAACACAGCAGGGATCAGTACATAACTGAAAATTAAACCTTAAGAAGTAGTCAGATCAGGAAACCAATCATTCTTTCCTAGTTTCAACAACAAACTACTTATGACCAAAATGGTACCATGTCAGTTTAGCCCATTTATGTCAAGCTTGCCATGGAAAATAGGAAGATCTATCAGTTCCCATTACAGTCACTTGTGAAATATCAGAAAGCCTCCTTAACTGAGATAGAGACTCCAGTTTTACATCAATGGGAAACACAGTAACTTTGAATAAGTCATCTTTAAGCTGTAATGCACATTAGAGGGGAGGAAAAAAAAAAAAAAAGCATCAAGTCAGAAAGCAGAGTTTTGTTTCCAACCAACTCTCTTTCTCTGGCAAACTGCTGCACAAGTTAGCAGAGGTCTCAAGTGGTCCAGAAGCCTGGAATAGGATCATAATCCCAGAGGAAAAAAAAAAAAAAAGTTAGCAAACAGTCTGCAGGCTGGATATCAAAGATTCAGATAAATTACAGCCTCCTATCGCACATTAACTTGTTTCACAAGTCTGTTTTAACTGTGTGGATCTGTTCCACAAATACTTATTATCTCAAGACTTTATGTCACAAAAACCCCAAAACAAAAGCCACCCTCCAACATCCTTCTCAGTTAGCATTTTAGCAGCCTACTGCTTTATGCTCAAAACAGCACAGTCTGATCTAAAACCGTGTTGCCAAAAACAGATGGTGATGCTAAGGAGGGGGCAGGGAAAACACGACTGCAAAAGGAAGAAAAGGTAGGGCACTCTCAGTCACAGAAACATAAAAGCAGCCATAGTAGACGGAGTAAAATCTACCTATAGTCTCCACACCATGGTAAAAAGCAGGTATCTAAGGAAGAATATAAGAAATGAAGTGTGAATGATACCTCCTCAAACACTCTCCTAGCCTAAATGCATTTATGACTCAGATTGCCCCAGATGAGAGTGGTTTCTACATATTCAGTAACCCTTAAAGGATTTAACTTCTAATTTTTCAAGTCTTTACCTCACATATATACTCAGAACTGGACTGAATAAGGTTTCATGTGAAGAAAAACTGCTATAAAAGTATAGTAATAGATGTTAGCATTAAAGGACATAATCAAAGAAAACATTCTCAGGAGCAGCTATGTTTTTTATTAAACCAACTTTTATATCTGGAGAAAAAAAAACAACATAAAAAATTAATCTGCTTCTTTAGGTCTGAATGCTTTTCCCATAGCTTTAGTCAAGGCTTTGTTTGCTCCCATGATTGTTATTTCTGAAAGCTGCGATCCCTAGGGACTATTCAGCAACTTCAGCATTATAGTAATGTTGCTGTTACCCACCCATTTGCCCTAAGGTGGTTCAGAACCTATTATCTGCCAGAAAGCACAACCTGAATGTTCTTATTGTTCAAAACGAGCATTGTATACATTAACATCAGAACAGTGTATCAACGAACACAGAGCACTAAGAAGCCTGTTTTCTCCTGAGAAATAAAGTGTCTGCCATTACGTGATCCTTATCACTAAAAAAGTAAGGATTGATACTCTTCCTGGGCTTCATAGGACAGTTTTGGCTGGAATACTTCTATTCCCACATGCTGCAGGCTTGGCCTTCAAATCAAAACATTATCATGCTAGCACAGGCAAAGTATTCCACCTGGGATAACTGATTCGACATCCCCACACTAGATGCCAGAAAGCCGAAGCAAACACGTACTTACACATCTTCGGGTTTCAAGAGCAGTGACCACACTTAAAACAATAGCTGAGTATATCTATTAAATCAAAACCCATCTACTTTCTTTTGAAAGCACGGGAGCAGCAAACTGACAGTTCCGAATTTGGTTTAAGCAACTGGGCCTTTCTCCAGATCACAAACAGGTTAAGCCAGATATGACGTCATTCGCATCTCCCGTTTGTGCTAATGGCCACATCCTTGTGAGGTCAGGAAAAGGCACGGATGTTCAGCTCAATATACTTTCATCATGACACACCCTCCCCAGTCCAACCAGAAACATACAGATATTCTGCGATACACTCGACGGTTCCTTTGGGCCATCTTCTGGTGCATCTGAGGAGGGCATTGGATCTGCAGCAGCCTGTATGAAACAAATTCAAAAGGAGGCTGGGAATTATAATGAAATGTTTTAATACATCTTTCCCCTTGTGAGTCTGCTCAATTTGAACCTACATATAATATTCATGCAAGTAAATAATTTAAGCAGTGCTAACAGTTAATGTCTGCAGTTTTACAGATGTTTCTCCTACCTAGATGAGTATGCGGAAGAACATATTTAAAAATATTTCACTTAAAAAAAAAATAATATTTATATCTGACATGGAGTTTAAAAAAAGAAAAGATTCTAGAATAAGAACAAAATTACAGCACCTCTACTATAGCATTTTCCGTGTTGGAAACTAAAATGTGCACTGATTATTGTAATACCGTTGCCACTTGTGAGATGCCGTACTTAACTACCAGTCAGCATCAGTCTGTCTGGAGCCTGACAAAATTAATCAGCTCTCACAAGAATACACATGCCCATTCAAGAAGAGTCTGCTCAGGTATTTCATCCAATTGGATTAAGTGTAAGGTAATTACACAACATACGCACCCAACCTTGTATGTTTATGTGTATGCTGACTTCATATACATCAGAAATCAAAGCCAAAAAGGATGAAAAGCATCTGCATAGTTTTGTTCTCTAAAGCATGAGAACGTAATTGATTTCAAGATTCCTCAAAGCCTGCCTTTTAAATATTATCACTCTAAGTATACAAGGTGGGTCTTCCGATGACAAAACCTTTTGCATTTTTAACTAACAGGCAAGGTTTAAAACCTGTGCACAGAATTCAGACAACACCAGTTATTCAGCCTATGTCATCCAAGCCAGAGAGGTGGAGTTAGTGCAGAAAAGACAGACTAAAGAATTGGGGAGAGCTCACCTATAAACTATCTTTATGCATCTACATTAATTCAAAGTTGAATCAGGATGATCACTGGGAGAATGTGGAATTCTTGAGCAACATTAAGAAGTTAGACAGGATGTGAATCCATGATCATTCAAGTACCTTTCAAATGAAAGGCAGGATTAATGTGTCAGCAAGCAGGTAGCCAAGCCCTCCTGAAGGATGTCAGTTTTTCAGCCAGTATGACTGGTTTATTTACCTTGTACTTAATCTGGTAATATTTAAAACAGGACTGTACAAAGCATATCTAATTGTTAAGAGCATTCAGGAAGAGTAATCAATTTCTCCTTGCATTCCATTATGCAGTAATTTTCAGATAATAAATCTTGGGTGTCTTACCCTTGCCCCACTGATAGTAAGGCAAAATTTAGCATGCATTTTGTGGAGTAAGACCGAAAGTAGAACAGCTTTCCAGTGCAAAGTTTAAAACTTTCACAGCAACATATTCTTTCATTACAAAGCAAAAGTCATTGACAACTGCAAACTGCAATTACATAGCAAATTGTAATTACATTCACAAATCTAATTTAGCACCAGCTCAGCTTTTGATCACAACATATGGCTTGACTCTACTACTTGCATTCAGAGCTCTAGTCACAAAAATATTTTGGAAAAACGTATCCATCTGTAACATATGGAATTAATCCTGTCACTTATGCTGGCTTTGTCATCATAACAACATCACAACGTTGCAGCTGAAAAAGCACTAAGCACCACATTAAGAGTCTGCCGTTCCTTTTTTTCCACTCCCCACTAATAGGACACAGGAACTGACATTTTTGTATCTCCCATGAAAAAAAGTTCCCAAGCTTCACCTATTATACCAGAAAAAGGTTTTGAGATATGTAGATATGAAAGGAGAAGAAAAGGAACAAAAAGGGTAGAGAAAACCACCTCAGCTTACTTGGGCAAGGTACTTAACACCCGTACAGGGAGATCACTTGTATATAATCAATTTTTTGTAACTTACAAAACATTTTTCCTCCTAAAGGTTTAAGCTCATAGTTTAGACTATTTTCTGCAATTCCTCACTTTGTAAATTAAGTATATTAAGTATGTTTAGTTAAGTAAATTAATACAGAAGGCACTTTCTAGCTATTGCAATTAGAGGGAAAAGGACCGTGACAAGAACCACCTAAACATGGCCAAAAAATAGCACTCAGGCCCCCACCTTGCTGTTTTAAAAGGGGTCTCACACTGGCAGTCTCAACCCTCTCCCTCTGACTTTCCAGACCTTCCCCAAGGATTAGTGAAAGAACCTGGCTGATACAGAGTCTTGACCTTCCCTGTGATTCTACCAAGAAACAAGCTTCAGCTCCAAGCCCTACCTCAGGCTGTTGCTCCTCTTGCATCCCTGCACCGTAGGCTTATTTTCACCAACCACACAAGAACGGCAAGAACTAAAAGGAATGGAAGAGAATACAAAATTAATGTCAGAACTCAGAATATTTCCTTAAGAACTGGGGAAGGCGAAGGGGGGGGGGAACCAACAAACACGTAGGCGTGTCTACAATCTTTAATAAAACCTAAAGTAACAAAAGCAGCAGACTCAAGATGTAAAAAATGTCACCTTTTCAACTCTGCTGATCCCCAAGCAACAACCAAAAAAATCCCAACTACTACTCCCCTGCCCCACTAGCAGGGTAAAACTAGCCTCTTTCAGTCTGGTCCTGGAGTTGTCTTTAAATTCAGGGCCTAGTGCTGTTCTCACACACACTGAGAATATCTTGCTGAAGAGTGGATTTCACAGGGACTCAGAATTTGGTGTTGTTCTGTTGGGTTTTTTTATTTGACCTGCACAATCTTTGGACAAAGAACAGTTTTCTGTTCAGGGTGGTTCCCAGTTCCACCACAGCGAGGATCCAGCCTCTGCCCAGAACCCACAGCACAACACCATGATGGTCAGACGAGGGACTGGGCACCCACATTTTCTGCCATGGCTTCTTTCTAGGAGATGTTGTTCTCAGGTGCTTAGGTCCGCTCAAGATCCACTGAATGTGATTTTTTTCCCCACACAGAAGACTTGTTTCTGGATATATTTCTTTATTTTTCCTTAGAACATGACCAGGAACTCTGGTTATTCAGTCAACTTTATGAAAATTCTTACAACTAGTTGTGAATAGCAAAATAAAACTCAACTGAACTCCTGAGGAAATCTGTGCATGTTCAAACTCTTGCTCCGTGTGAGTGACAGAAGGGACAACACTAGAGTATGGACAAGGCTGGATACTTGTCTAGCCAGCATCCTCATTAACAACACAAGAGAAAGTACATATATTCTGGGAACTAGTCAAATACCTCGGACTCCAGGCTGACCTAGCTCATCCACATTGTAAAGTCATCATCTCGGTGCATCTACACATCCGCAGAAGATATCTGCATCCCACAATACTTGAAATACTAATCCTGAAACCTCTGAGAGAAGGCTGAACATACCTCATTCTTAGACAGGCAAGGAACTGACACATGGGAACCTGTACACGCTTCCTCCCACTACATCCCACAGTGAGAAAAGGTACCAATTCAGATCAAATCCTGGCAAGCATCTGGGCAACTTCAATCCAAGCATTTCCAAATTTCTTAAGAGTTTCTTTTTTTTTCAACCTTGTGTTTCTGATTTTTTTAAAATGAAGTTCAGCTTCCTAAAGATTTCTTTCCTTCTTTCTTTCGTTTGAAATTAGGGAACAAGGCAGAGTTCATTTGATGGTGCTTGCTAAGCCAAAGGTGAAATTTTAAACTTGGCAAGGAGGTAAGAGCCTCGGAGTCACTCAGAGATGCAATACACAGCATTGCTCCTCCAGGAAAAAAATAAATACAGAAGATTACAGGCCATAGTGCGTGTGAAAAAGAGGAGGTCTGCAGAACCTGTCAGAGAACAGATGCGAATTCACCCCCAAGTTATAAAGCCATAGGCAAAAGACGCTGGTCAGACAATTAAGTTCCATAATACATGATGCCACAACATCCCATAACCTCACATTCTTTTACTTACCATGGGATTTGGCAGGAACATGTGAAACCAATCAAAACCCTCTCCTACAGCTACTTCAAAGGCCTGTATGACGCCCTCAGGAGATAAATCGTATACTGATATGACCACACATTTCTTTCCTCAAACAGGAAGAGGCAGCTTCTAGGCACTCATAAAGATCAGAGATTAGAAAATTTCTGTTCTTTTATCTGCCAAGAATCTGGGATTCGTTCCTCTTCCGAGTGCCACCAGGAAAATTCCTGGAGCCAGAAGAAACAAGTCATCTGATCTGGCTCCTTATTATCCAGCAAGACGGAGTTTTGCCTCTGGAATTTTCTTGAATACATGACCGAATCTCCAAGTCAATCCCTAATTCAATTTTTTAATTGAATTCAAAAACCTTTTTTCCCCAGCAAGTGGAATTCTTGTGCTTGTTTCATCTTTGCTAGCCCTGGGGCCCTGCCATTCACTGGGTGATTGAAAACTATGTATGCACGTATGAACAAATGAAGCCTTCTCCCCAACTCTTAAGATACCCAGGAAACCGAACAGGAATTTGAGACCACTCAATGAACCACAAGTCTAAAATTTAGCCATTACCTATCTCACCTGGTAGGCACCTATTTCCTTTCAAGGTCTCGTTGTCCTGACAGCACACACGCGACAGCACTGCAGAAAAGTTTTTCCACAGGAAGATTTCTCCCCTATACTAGAGGTTATTCTCTTCCCTCTCAACACAAGTTCAGAAAGGAATGCACAGGTAAGTGCAACATCCTCTAGCAATGGTTATCCTGTACAGAGGCTGACAAAAGCAGAGCGAGAAAGACCTTGCTGCCATGCCATTTTCACATCAGTCCTCCAGCTTTCCTAACATAAAACAGCTTCAGCAGAGCTTCCCCTCCGCGTGAAATCTGCTCATGAACCACTGGCTCATTTTTCATACTGGGTAGTCTCAGCTGACCAAAGTGTTTCGGTTCCAGCTGAATATTTAGGTACCTGAAACTCCCTTAGCTCACAGTTTTGAGGAAAAAAGAGGTACGCTCACAAGTCTGGGGTTCTAGCAAAGCAAGTTACAGACACTAAAACATCAGCTGCTGCAATTTCTCATTTCATTTCAACTAAGTAGTTCAACAGGAAAATTCAAGCACAGAGGATGGACAGGCAGTTTGTTAAGGTATCCTCCTATAGCAGGGCTGAATCTCTTCCTTTATTATCTTGTTTAAATTTGCTTCCTTCAGACAGTGATTCAACTGAATCAATAAAAAAGCTTTTTAAAAAACTCTCACGATCCTACCTATAAAACCACCTAGTCAGCTACTCTTTAAAAAGAAGATTTTTATTGAATGCTTTCTTCCTTCTGAGCAATACAGGAATTTGAAAGCAGCATTTGCTTTCTTCAAGATGTTGACATTGCAAGAGGGAGATAAAGTTCTCTGTAGTCTTTTAATTGCTCTGTATCTTCTATGCACTGCACGCACATCAGTGTAATTAGTAAGAAACTAGGAGCCACTAAACTATCAAAATTTGTTTCACTTTTTATTGAAAGGGAAAGCCAAAAATTTTTATTTTTGATTCCCCTCCACATCTAAACACATGTATTACTGCTTTCAGTAGCTACAGTATTCACTAGCATGGCAGAAGATATCTGCATTTCTCAGTACACGTTGCATTAACCCTGCAGCCTCTGAGATGGGATTATATGCACTTCCCTGTTTTACAAACAAGGAACGAAGGCATATGAATACTTAAATACCTGTACAAACCCGATCTTTGGTATCTAAACAAGTAGCCAGGAGGTTGCTGGAACTTTCAAAGTATTTCAATTTTGCAATGTGATTTTTTTCTTTGGTTTTAATCACTGGCCCTGTGGAAGAAGATCTGCCCACATCCCATCGGAGAGCACTTCCTCACAGAAACACACGACATCACTCACCTTTGTCCCTCCGGAGTCACTGTGGGAAAGACAAGAGACAGGCTAAGAACTGCATCTGATTCAAGAGCCAGCTGTCAGACAACAAAGTGGGCACTCTCCAGCAAGAGTACAGCACAAGGCACACAAGGCCACGCCAGAATCAAGCTGTAACCAAGCCAGAACTAACCTGTGCTGGACATAAGCCACAGGCACACACAAATGACCATTCCAATGAACAGCCTCTTGACCCAGCCTTCTAACGCCAGTATCCCTGTCCAGAACAGTCTCCATCTACTCAGCTTGAGACACAGCAATAAAAATTTACTTACGTCTACACACGCTGTGCCATCTCCCTTGCATCCCCTAAGCCTGCAATTGCACTAGCAACTGATAGTGGGTTTAGCTGGCACAGCCTGTGCCCTTTGGATTCATAAGATGCACTGCATAAGCACATCTCATTTGAAGGCTGCTACCCGCTAACAGGACCACTTATGTAAACAAAAGCAACGTATCCATACTTCAGAATCCACAGACACAACTTCTCTGCCACCGACAAACCACTGCACTCATTACTTGCTGTCTGGGATACCTAACAAAGTACCTTCCATTCCAAACATCTAACCTACTAAGAAGGCAAAACTAGATCGACATATACGCACTTAGGTCTCAGCACCATCCTCTGCAATCGAAGCAGAGTTTTTAAGAATGATGAGGCTTTCCCCATGCTTGTGCCCAGAATTCTTACAAATGTTTACAAACAAACAATCATCTGCTCCAAATGGTGTCTCAGCTCTGTTTTGCTGCTCATACTCAGAAGGATGCATCAGCTGAAACCTGCCTGCCAATTAATGCCACAGCCATAAATTCAGAAATTGGAACGTATTTCAAAACCATCACCAAGGTGACCTACTCTACATATTGCACGTATCTCTTTGACACAACCCATGCCTTTGAAACTTAACTGAGCAACTGGTTCTGTGATCACAGATGGCTGTAGATTGCGGTTCTAGTTTCTCATGACTCAGAAGTTCATAAATTTCAAAACACAAGCTTTTTACCTTCTGAGCATCAATGAGATGCTCCCGCAATGTGAACCGTGCTGATGTAAGCAGCCTAACTCAGGTACCTGCACACTGAAGCCGACGCCTATTTGCATATTTTGGAAACTAAAAAATAAGTCACAGACAACTAAATTCATTTTGTTTGAAAGGAGGTGTGGTAACATGAGACTCTGGCCTGGGACACTGGTGCATTGAAAACACATTTCTCTATCAGTGAAATACAAGAAGGCATTCTCATGTATGTTTTGTGGGTTTAGAAATTATTGCTATGACACTGGCTGGGACCACTAGATAAAATGAGGAAGTACAAGGTGAGAACAAACAATAGCCAAATCCTTCCTGGTTTACAAGGCTGTAGAGAGATTGCTAAATGTAGAAACATGGGACAGAAAGACCAAAGTGACATGG